GATTTATAATAACCTGAAGTGTAAAATGACACACCTTAGGTTGTTGAATAAATACTTCCACAAGTGTAAAAAAATATACTTCAGGCTGATAAGTAATAACCTAAGGTTGAAAATGAAACACTTTAAAGTAGTAAATATCTACCTCTCCCAAGATGTAAAATTAAACACCTCAAGTTGAAACATATATACCTCTGGAGGTATATATTAAGGTATATTTGAGGTTGGTTTTGAGGTATTCATTTGCACCCTTTTCAACCTCAACGACGTCTTTAAATAACAACCTCCTTTATACCTTTAAAATATACCTTGTTTATACCTCATTTATACCTCGATTTTTTCATAAGGGTAAGCTCTTACCGGTTACAAGTTACAGTTTTTCAGTCAAAAATTTCTTTTTAAAAAAGATTTTATTCTTATAATACTAAAAGAAAACACAAAATATTTTTAATTCAAAATAGAAAAAACTTCTTTGAAAAAAAAATGCGCTAAAAAGCAGCAGAAGTTTCAGAAGAAAGTTAGTTCTTATAAATATTTTTCATTATAATTTAGAGAAGTTAGCAGTATGAAATTCTTGCAGCATCATTTTAGTGTTGTTCTGTAAGAATTATAATAATGCTTGTAAATGGTGCTTCTCTAAAATAAATAATGCTTTTCCTTCACTACAGTAGTAACTAAATAAAGTATTCGTGTCACAAAACGTCAATTTCAACCTAATGTTCCAAGCTCATTTAAGCATCTAATCCAATAAGTGCAATTAAAAAAAAAAAAACTTTTTACTCGTGGAGATGTCCTGTTCACACCTCAGTTAGTTCATTGGTCTTATGATTACTCCGTATCTAATTTTGTATCTTGTCCCGAAACAAAAAATTTCATAAAAATTATTTAGTCTTTACAATTTTGTTGTATCTCCATCACCGAGCCCCTATTTGAGTAGGTTACAACCTTTAGCATTTTAACCCGGTAATTTTGGACCCAGCCACGAGACAAAGGTACTATTGAGTTAAGTATATACAGTTAAAATTGCTTCAGTGATTAATTTTTCTTATTGATTTCTCACTAAACGATAAATTACTAAAAAGTAAATAAGCAACTGTATCGAAAGAGCGAATACATACAATTGATATTTGACAGCGCACAAAATTGAAAAAAAAAATGAAACATCTTAATGACTTTTAATCTAATCGTTTTATCACACGCTAAGAATGGTTTGAATGGATATTCTAAATTTTTTTTTCCTTCTTGTATAGACATTTTAAACCACTAAATCATTCATAATTAAGTACTTTTCCTGAATGAACATTCTTTTTTCCGTTGAGTTTGGATTCTTGACCCTCTAAATACAGGATGATCCGTTATCTGAAAAGTATGATTCCAAAAGTTTAGTTCAGTAAAACGTCAAAAGCTTTTAATGCTACTTTTAATTTTTGAGTATTTTGCGATAAATATGGAACTATTTAAGAGAATTTAAAAATTTTTGAGTTCAAAACTAAAAAGTAATGCCATAATCCAATACAAAAATATAATTTTTTATATTTATTTATTTATTATTTTTTATTGTTAAATTGTTAAGTGATGTTATTTGTTATGATTCATTGTTAAAGATCAAAAACCTTCTGAATTGTTAAGCACATGAATATTTACATAATTTTAAGCTGAATGGACAAATTTAATTGTAATTGTTTAACAGTTATTGAGAAATGAAAATTTAAAAATACAACTATTTTGCAGTTCACTCGCAAACTACTTGGCCGATATCACTTAAATTTTATATTTTGAAAGAAATATAAAATTATCGAGAAGTTGTCGATAGTTCTTAAAAAACAATAAAAAAATTTCTGAATTGTATTTTGATTTAAAAAAAATACGGGTTTTTTAATTGTGTGCAGAATTATTTTTTTTTACTAGTTTAAATAGTTCCAGAGATATGGCGAAATATGCAAAAAGTGATTGATCGTTCTCCTGCCTAAGCTATTGAAATCATATTTTCTAGATTATGGTTACATCTGGTTAATATTTTTTTTAAATTTATCCAGATTATGGCTAATATTTTGAGGGTTGAAATTGCAAATACATTAAAAATAGAAAGTGCGTCTTTTGCATTTCTACGTTTTTCTGATACATTTGTTTTGAGAAAGTGCGTTTTTCGAAATTTAAAATATTTTTTTTTTATGAATTAATGAGTTAATTTAAGGTTATAGATTGTATCAATAACTTTATATTTCAGATGAAAAAATTTTAAGGTGTTTAATTTTTTATTTTGTGCAGTGTCATGTTTTAAATGTTTTCATGTTTTCTGCACATGTCATGTTTTCTCCACAAAAGTTTTTTTTCTTCTGCTTTTTTGCTTTTTTCTTAAATATTTATCGATAATTTCAAATTAAAATTTTCTACTATAACTTTCAGTAATATAAGCTTCTCTGCATCATTCAAAATATATTTTTTAATCACTGAACATGTAGAGCATCCAAAACTTTCTTGATGGTATGACGTTTTTTTAAAACTGTTATCATTCGAATTATTTTTCGAATATTAATTCGTCAATTTTTCACACATTTCCCTTCAAAAACAATAAATATAAAATAAAAATATACATATATAGACAGGTAAAATTTTCCCGATGGCCCATTAAAAGGGTAACGTGCTTTATTTACCAACAGAAGTTTAAATTAGAAAATTAAAATCTAATGCAGCGATGTGATGGAATGATTTTTTAATTTTTTTTCAGGATATTGTGTAAAATTAAGCATTATTTTTGAAAATTTTCGAATAAAAAGAAAAAAAGTACATTTTATAATGATTAGAAATGATCAAGGAAGTAACGAAACAGCAGTAATTAACTATTTTATCTTAAAATTATTTGTTGACAGAATAAGAAAGATTTGACTTATTCACCAAGTTCATTTCAAAATAAAAATCATAACGAGTGTATATTGAACCAATATAAATTTGATACATTGAAATTAAAGGGGAAGCAAAAGTCAATCTATCACATAGTATGTAAACATATTTTTGCTACCACATTTTTAATTTCCCCCGATTGTCGACTTCCTGTTATTGCAATGGAGTCTAAGCTATAAAAAATTTGAATGCCAATTTTAAGATATAAATGTAATTGAGTTGATATTAAATGGATAATAAATATAAATGTGGAGTTATACCTAATTTAAAAGTTGTCTCATTAAATTGCGTAATTGGAACTATAATAAAGTTTTACTTACCTACTACAGGTTTACTTACCTAAATAGTCACAAAAAGATCAACTTTACATAAATTTTTTATTACTAAACTACATGATATCTTTCGTTAATTTTGATTATTGATATCTATTGATATAACTGCCACTGAACATTCATAAAAGAAACTTACATAAACGATGATTAGTAAATAAAAAAGACATTTAATTGCTTTTTTTCTTTTCAAATCAGAATAAAATATTATCGGAGCTCTCATTATACCTATTCTGGCATTTCTCCACTGCCTCCCCAATGGGCTAGTGGTCCAACAATTGGCCATCTTTTCGATGAACTGAAGTATTCTTGCAGTTCAGGTAAATTTCTGACTCTTTCATGGTAAGCTTTGAGGTTTGGAAAATCATCCAAAACTGTCTTTGAAAACAAGACACAAAAATCAAAAGTTTCATATGCCAGAAAGTCTACATAAGTGATATTATCGCTGACGAAGAATTTTCTATGCCCAAGAAATTCAGCATAAAGTTTCAACATACCAGGAATGGCGTTTAAAGCTTCTTTTCGTGTTTCATCAGAATCTGTGTAAGCAACGTTCCGGATAAACAACATGCGAAGATCCGATATCTGTTGTTCAACTAACGAGGCTCTTACTTTTTCTTCTTCGGTTTCTCCTTCCAAATCATATACTTTTGCCAAGTACCTCAGAATTGTGGTACTTTGTGTCAACTTGACTTTATCATCAATATAATAGGGCAAATTTGGGAAATCCAAGCCTAAGGTGAACTTTTCTTTTTGCCATGTATCAGGATCTTGATACCTCTTGTCTTCGAAATTTACATTTTTGTAATGAAGTAGATACCGAATTGGTTCTCCAAGACCTCGTAAATCCCAATAAGCTAACGTGATTTGACTCATTTTTAAAAGAAAACGTTTAGAAAATTCGCTTTGCCTCGACCACTGTCAGAGATAAGCACGGATGAGTTTATAATATCAAAATGATTTTGCTACTTGATAAACGAGTTATTATCCCTAATGTTTAACTTCCTTTAGTGCACTCCCACTACGTCTTTATTTCCTTCTGAACGACCTCGAAAAGCTATTTCAAAAGATTAGATAATTGTTAGTGTTTCATTTCGCTAGGACAAGCTTTTACAATAAAGGACACTGGATAATTTTTTTTTGTTGAAGAGATTTTATAAAACGTCAAAAGTTATGTAATTTTCACGAATGAAAGCAAAAATATAACTCCCCAAAAGCCTCTTTTGAAAATAAAATATTTTTAAGGACATTTTTTTAATTTCGAAAAAAACTTGCGTTAAGTCAGGTCGTAAAAATTTAACTCATTAGTTGCATTTCAGCTTTCAGTGGATCGACGAACACTCTGTTTTTACTACAATCATTCATTTTTGGGCTTATAATCACATCTTAATTTTTTTAAATTCTTTTATTCCAGCGTAGTGTCTTTGCATTTTTCTCGACTCCTTCGCATTAAGTTTTTACGCAGCAAAGCAAAATGTAACGTAAATTAATGGAATTCACTAATTTTAGCCACTAATTAATGGAACCCACTGTTAGATGTCTAAAAGGGTTCAACGTCATCGACATACACACATTTAGTTCTATAGAATTTTTTTTTTCTATTTTAAATTTATGGTCATAACATATACAGTAATAAATAAACATGCGGAATTTCTTTTTATGCGAGTATAAGAAAGAAAAAAGCTTTTTTTTAAAAAGACTTCCTTTTTACAGAAGAAATAATTTTAAGCGCACATTGTTGCGTACAATAGCAATTAGTTTTTATAAAAAAACTTATTTTAACATTAATTATATGTCTCTATGCTTTTTCGCAACTGAATTGGTTCATAATAACAGTAATATGCCATTTACCTTTCCAATGCTCATGAAAGCTTGTTTTTTACTACCATAACTGTTGTTCTGTAAGAATTGTAATAATGCATATAAATTGTGCTTCTCTATATTGAATAAATAATGCTTTTCCTTCACTACTAACTAAATAATGCATTCGTGTCACAAAGCTTCAATTTCAACCTAATGTTCCAAGGCGAAAAATGAATGCGTTAGCAAGATCATCTAATCATCTAATGCAATAAGTGCCATGAAGAAAGAAAAAAAAAAATCACTTTTTACTCGTAGAGATGTCCTGTTCACCCCTTGCTCAGTTAATTCATTGCTCTTATGATTACTTCGTATCTAATTTTGTATCTTGTCCCAAAACAGAAAACTCCATAAAAAATTAGTTTTTACAATTTTGTTGTATCTCCATCATCGAGCTCCTATTTCAGTAGGTAACAATCTTTAGTTATTTAACCTAGTAATTTTGAACCCAACTTACAAGACAAAGGTACTATTGAGTTAACTATAGAGTTAAAATTGCTTCAGTGATTAATTTTTCTTATTGATTTCTCACTAAAAAATAAATAACTAAGAAATAAATAAGTGTGTAAGTATGAATAATAAAAATAAATGTATCGAAAGAGCGAAGACATACAATTGATATTTGACAGAGCACGAAATAAAAAAAAAAGGAAACATCTTAATGACTTTTAATCTAATCGTTTTTTCACGCGCTAAGAATGGTTTGAATGGATAGTCTAAATTTTTTTTTTTTTTCTTGTATGGATAATATTTTAAACCACTAAATCATTCACAACTACTTACTTTTCCTGAATGAACATTCTTTTTTCCATTGAGTTTAGATTCTTGACCCTCTAAATACAGGATGATGAAATTTTTGAGTGCAAAAGTAAAACGTAATACCATAATCCAATATGAAAATATCATTTTTTATATTTATTTATTTATTACTTTTTATTGTTAAGTTGGTATGTGATGTTATTTGATATAATTTATTGCTAAAGATCAAAAATTTTCTGAATTGTAAAGCACTGGAATATTTACATAATTTTAAGCTGAATGGACAAATTTAAATGTTATTGCTTAAGCAGTTACTGAGAAATGAGCATTTAAAAATACAACTATTTCGCAGTTCACTCACAAACTACTTGACCGATATTGCTTTAAATTTATATTTTGAAAGAAATATAAAATTATCAAGAAATTGTCGATTGTTATTAAAAAATAATAAATGCTTTTTTTTTAAAATTATATTTTGATTTAAAAAAAAACGAGTTTTATAATTGTGTGTAGAAATATTTTTTTGATTAGTTTAAATAGTTCCAGAGATATGGCGAAATATACAAAAAGTGATTGATCGTTCTCCTGCCTTAAACTAATGGAATCATATTTTCTAGATTATGGCTACATCTGGTTAATATTTTTTTAAAATTTATTTAGATTATGGCTAGTATTTTGAGGGTTAAAACTACAAATAGATTGAAAATAGAAATACGTCTTTTGCATTTCTACATTTTTTGATATATTTATTTTGATAAAGTACGTTTTTTGCGTCTTATTTCGAAACTTAAAATATTTTTTGTATGAATTAATGAGTATATTTAAGGTTATAGATTGTATCAACAACCTTGTATTTTAGATGAAAATTTTTTAATGTGTTTAACTTTTTATTTTGTGCGGTGTCATTTTCAGCACAAAAGTTTTTGTTTTTCCTTGTTGCTTTTTCCTTAAATATTTATCGATAATTTCGAATTCAAATTTTCTACTATAACTTTCAGTAATATAAGCTTCTCTGCATCATTCAAAATATTCTTTTTAATCACTGAATAAGTAGAACAAGCATCCAAAATTTTCTCGATGGTATGGCGTTTTTTTAAACTGTTAGCTTTCGAATTATTTTTCGAATATTAATTCGTCAATTTTTCACATTTCCCTTCAAAAACAATAAACATAAAGTACAAATATATACATCTTATGAAAATATATTCATATTATCAAAATATTTCAATATTTAATACCGATCTTAATGGGAAAATGGTAGGAAAAGAGGACCATGAAAATTCAGAGATAAATTATTTCACAATATTAATGGTTCGCATTATAGCTAATATAAAATAGATAGGTAAAATTTTCCCAATGGCCCATTAAAAGGGTAACGTGCCTTATTTATCAGCAAAAGTTTAAAATTGAAAATTAAAATCCGATGCAGGAATGATCCGATGATAGAATTATTTTTTAATTTTCTCTCAGGATAATGTGTAGCGTTACATATTATTTTTAAAAATTTTCGAATAAAAAGTAAAAAAGGATATATTTTAGAATGATCAGAAAAGATCAGTAAAGAAAAAAAACAGCAGTAATTAACTATTTTCTCATCAATTTATTTGTTGACAGAATAAGAAAGATTTGACTTATTCACTTAGCTCATTTCAAAATAAAATTCATGTCGAGTATATATTGAACTAATATAAATTTGATACATTGAAATTAAAAGGTAAGCTGAAACTATTCTATCGCATAGTATATTTTCATACTTTTGCTACCACGTTTAAAATTTTCCCTCATTCTCGATTTCTTGTCATAGTAAAATATTCTAAGAAAAGCAAAATTTGAATGTCAATTTTAAGATATAAATATGAATGAATTAATTTTATATGCATTATAAATATGAATACAGAGTTTTACTTAATTTAAAATTGGTTTCATTCAATTTTATAATTGGTACGATAATATAGTTTTACTTACTTCTATAGGTTTACTTACCTAAATAGTCACAAAAAGATCAATTTAGAGTACGAACCGCACATAAATTTTTTATTACTAAGCTACATGAAGCAATATCTTTCGTTTATTTTGATTATTTATTTGCATTGATGTTACTGCCACTGAACATTCATAAAAGTAACTTACATAAGCGTTGCTTAGTAATTAAAGGAGACATTTAATTGTTTTTTTCTTTTTTTAAATCAGAATAAAATTTCATTAGAGTTCTTATTATACCTATTCCGGCATTTCACCACTACCTCCCCAATGAGCTAGTGGTCCAACAATTGGCCATCTTTTCGATGAACTGAAGTATTCTTGCAGTTCAGGTAAATTTCTGACTCTTTCCTGGTAAGCTTTGAGGTTTGGAAAGTCATCCAAAACTGTCTTTGAAAATAAGACACAAAAATCAAAAGTTTCATAAGCCAGAAAGTCTACGTAAGTGATATTATCGCTGACGAAGAATTTTCTATTCCCAAGAAATTCCGCATAAAGTTTCAACATACCAGGAATGGTGTTTAAAACTTCTTTTCGTGTTTCATCAGAATCTGTGTAACAAACGTTCCGGGCAAACAACATGCGAAGATCCGATATCTGTTGTTCAACTAACGAGGCTCTTAGTTTTTCTTCTTCGGTTTCTCCTTCCAAATCATATACTTTAGCCAAGTACCTCAGAATCGTGGTACTTTGTGTCAACTTGACTTTATCATCGATATAATAAGGCAAATTTGGGAAATCCAAGCCTAAGTTAAACTTTTCTTTTTGCCAGGTATCAGGATCTTGATACCTCTTGTCTTCGAATTTTACGTTTTTGTAATGAAGTAGATACCGAATTGGTTCTCCGAGACCTCTTATATCCCAATAAGCTAACGTGATTTGACTCATTTTTGAAAGAAAACGTTTAGAAATTTCGCTTTGCGCGACCACTGTCAAAGCAGATGATTTTATGATATCAAAATGATTTTGCTACTTGATAAACGAGTTATTATCCCTAATGTTTACGGAGTGTCTATTGCACCGATTATCGGCGCAGTAAAATTCATTTTGCTATCTTACCGATCAAATTTTTAACCAATCATAGAGCGTATCTGTCCACGTGACTCTCCGATTTTTTTTTCAAAAATAATTTAGCTCTGTTTATCGTAGTCAAGGCAGCTACAATTTTTGTAGCATCTTGATTTTCTTCATATGAAGAATAACAAATAGCCATTCATGAATTTGAAAAAGAAAAAAGGACGATCTTCTGGAAGAGAGAAGCGAAAACTTTACAAAATGCTTCAAAGAAATTTAAAAAATTTGATAAGGCTCCGCTGGAATTGAAATACACATGGTGGAAGAATTCATTAAANGTTGTCAAGGATAAGCGCGGATGAGTTTATGATGTCAAAATGATTTTGTTACTCGATAAAAGAGTATTATCCCTAATATTTAACTTCCTTCCCACTACGTCTTTATTTGTTTCTGAGCGACCTCGAAACAATTCTATTCAAAAGATTAGATGATTGTTAGTGTTTCATTTCGTTAGGATAAGCTTTTATAATAAAAGACTTTAGATAATTTTTTTTTGTTATTGAAGAGATTTTATGAAACGTAAAAAGTTATGTATTATTAGTTCAGATGATTTTCAAAAATGAAATCAAAGGAATAACTCCTCAAAAGCCTCTTCTGAAAATAAATTGATTTTAGGAAATTTTTTTAATTTAAAAAAAAACTTGCGTTAAGTCAGGCCGTAAAAATTTAACTCTTTAGTTACATTTCAGCGTTCAGTAGACCGACCAACGCTCTATTTTTACTACAAGTGTAACAATCATTAATTTTCGGGCTAAAAATCGCATCTTAATTTTTTTATTCCATCGTAGTCTCTTTGCATTTTTCTAGACTCCTTCGCATTAAGTTTTTATGCAGCAAAGCAAAATGCAACGTAAATTAATGGAATCCACTAATTTCAACCATCAATTAATGGAGCCCACTGTTAGATGTCTAAAAGGGTGTTACGTCATCGACATACACACATTTAGTTCTATAAATTTTTTTTTTCTATTTTAAATTTCTGGTCATAACATATAGAGTAATAAGTAAATATGCTGAATTTCAGTTATACGGGTATAAGAAAACAGAAGCTATTTTTTAGAAATGTTTCTTTTTACAGAAACAGTACAGAAACAATAATTTTAAGCGCACATTGTCGCGTACAAAAGTTATTAGTTTTTTTAAACTTACTTTAACATTAATTATATGTCTCTTTATTTCTACGCACCTGAATTGGTTCATTATAACAGTAATATGTTATTTACCTTTCCAATGCACATAAGAGCTTGTCTTTTACTACCATAACACGAAAGTTATCGATGTTCAGTGGTTAAATGCAATTTGTCTGTTTGTTCTTATAATAATGATATTCTTTTTTTTTTATAATAAAACACTATTATTTAGTTTAGAATTATTATTTGGATCAATTCATAAGGATGTAATTAGATCTCTTAATATAAATGAGATATTAGGAGTTATTTTTAAATAACGAATCTCTAAGCAAGCACAGATGTAAGAGCAATTAATGATTAATCTTAGTCTATAGATAATCACTGTCCTTGATTATCGGATACCTTTTAAATTTCGAATCATAAATTTCTCTATTACATAAAATTTAAATAAAACTAAATTTTAATGCCACTAGACAGTTTAATTCTTTACAGCAACAGGTTAACAGCTTTACGGTAAAAAAAATTTCAAAATTTTTTTTTAGAGAAGTTAGCTGCATAAAATTCTTATAGTATCAATTTAGTGTTGTTCTATAAGAGTTATAACAATCTTTATAAAAAAATAGATGGTGCTTTTCTTTATTAAATAAATAATGCTTTTCTTTCATTACTGTAGTAACTAAATAATAAATGTGTGCTTACTGTAGTAAATAAATAATAAAAAGTGAATGTGTCATAAATGTGCATAGTAACTAAATAATAATTCGTGGTTCAAAACGTCAATTTCAACCTATTATCAATAGACAAAAAAATGAATTATATAGTAAGCTCTTCCATGCATAAAATTAAAAGGGTACAGTAACAAGTTAAAGCTTTTCAGTCAAAAATTTCTTTTAAAAAAATATTTTATTCTTATAAATATTTTTGATTATAATTCAGAGAAGTTAGCAGTATGAAGTCAATTTCAACCTAATGTTCCAAGCTCATCTAATCCAATAAGTGCCAGGGAAATGTTTTTTTTCTTTTACTCATCGAGATGTCCTGTTCACCCATTGCTCAGTTAATTCATTGGTCTTATGATTACTTCGTATCTAATTTTGTATCTTGTCCCGAAACAAAAAATCTCATAAAAATTATTTAGTTTTTACAATTTTGCTGCATCTTCATCACCGAGCCCCTATTTGAGTAGGTTACAACCTTTAACATTTTAACCTGGTAATTTTGGACTCAACTCACAAGACAAAGGTACTATTGAGTTAAGTATAGAGTAAAAAATTGCTTCAGTGATTAATTTTTCTTATTGATTTCCCACTAAGCGATAAATTACTAAAAAATAAATAAGCAACTGCATCGAAAGAGCGAATACATATAATTGATATTTGACAGTGCACAAAAAAAAAAAAAAAAATGAAGCATCTTAATAGCTTTTAATCGTTTTTTTCACGCGCTAAGAATGGTTTGAATAGATAGTCAAAAATTTTTTTTCTTGTATCGATATTTTAAACTACTAAATCATTCACAAGTACGTACTTTTTCTGAATGAACTTTCTTTCTTCCATTGAGTTTGGATTCTTGACCCTCTAAATGCAGGATAATCCGCTATCTAAAAAATATGGTTCCAAAAGTTTAGTTTAGTAAACCGTCAAAAGCTTTTAATGCTACTTTTAATTTTTTGAGTATTTTGCCATATATATGGAACTATTTAAGAGAATTTTAAAATTTTTGAGCTCAAAAGTAAAATGCAATACCATAATCCAATATAAAAACATCATTTTTTTATATTTATTTATTTATTATTTTTTATTGTAAAATTGTTATGTGATGTTATTTGTTATAATTTATTGCTAAAGGTCAAAAACTTTCTGAATTGTAAAGCACAGGAATATTTACATAATTTTAAGCTGAATGGACAAATTTAAATGTAATTGCTTAAACAGTTATTGAGAAATGAACATTTAAAAATACGAACTATTTTGCAGTTCACTCGCTAACTACTTGGCCGATATCGCTTAAAATTTATATTTTGAAAGAAATATAAAATTATCAAGAAATTGTCGATTGCTATTAAAAAATAATATTTTTTTTAAGAATTGTATTTTGATTTAAAAAAAACGAGTTTTATAATTGTGTGCTGAATTATTTTTTTTACTAGTTTAAATAGTTCCAGAGATATGGCGAAATATACAAAAAGTGATTGATCGTTCTCCGGCCTAAACTATTGAAATCATATTTTCTAGATTATGGTTACATCAAGTTAACATTTTTTTAAAATTTATCTGGATTATGGCTAATATTTTGAGGGTTAAAACTGCAAATACATTAAAAATAAAAAGTACGTCTTTCGCATTTCTACGTTTTTTGATACATTTATTTTGAGAAAGTGCGTTTTTCGAAACTTTGTATGAATTAATGAGTATATTTAAGGTTATAGATTGCATCAATAACTTTATATTTTGGATGAAATTTTTTTAAGGTGTTTAATTTTTTAGTTTGTGCAGTTTGAGTAATTTTCTGCACAAAATTTTTTTCCCCTTAAATATTTATCCATAATTTCGAATTCAAATTTTTTACTATAATTTTCAGTAATGTAAGCTTCTCTGCATCATTCAAAATATATTTTTTAATCATCGAATAAGTAGAACATTCAAAACTTTCCTGATGGTATGACGTTTTTTTTAAACTGTTATCATTCAAATTATTTTTCGAATATTAATTCGTCAATTTTTCACAACAATAAAAATAAAATAAATATATATATATAGATATCTTATAAAAACATATTAATATTATCAAAATATTTCAATATTTAATATTGATCTGAACGGGAAAATGAGGACCATGAAAATTGAGAGATAAATTATTTCACAATATTAATGGTTTGCATTATAGCTAATATAAAATAGAAAAAGTTCATTATATCCAACTTCCTCACTTTTTTGGTTCACTATATCTACAAAAAATAACATTATACTTGTATAGCAAGGCACGGGACCAAACATTTCGTTCACTATAGCGGGGTTTGACTGTACAAATATATATATATATCCTAAAATCTGTAATGTCTTAATAAGTTATTATTATGATTATTTTTTATTATTATAAACAAAAAATAAGCGACAAATTGATTTTTAAAACGCTTAATTATATTAATAAAATGATTTAATTTAATTAATTAGTTGAATTGGTATAAGTGGGTTCAATTCCTTTTCATTGTAAAAATTGTATGCCCCCAATATTCAAAAAGAAAAATAATAATAATATAAAACATGAGAAAATTCGAAAGTACTTATTCTAAAGAAAGCGAAAGAAATAAGAACGATTTTCAAACACAATAGAAGACCCCAAGGATCACCACAATAAAAGACATCTAAACTGTTCAAAGAAAGTTAAGAGGCTATTTTCTAACCCCCCAAAAAGTTCCCCCCTACTAGAACTTACACTCTGATTGGTAAATGAACACAGGACAGGTGAGAGGCGTGGTTTAGGCTCTTTTCGCAAATTTTTTTAAGAATTCTTTCATCTTTCTTTGATGATAACATATTTAATAATTGAAGAAAATAATTACAAAGTATTTCTTTTGGAAGCTTAAAATGTATAGTACGAGTACGTTTTCTGAAAAACAAGGAATTACTGAATGAATTTTGATAAAAAACGGATTTCTAGAAGATAACTCGATCACCGATGTTTCAACTCAATTAATAATTTAAAATTTATAGTTTAAGAAAAAGTGAAAATACAGAAGCTTAGTGTAAAGTATGAAGTTTCAAATGCAGAAAGAATTTTTCCAAAATATCAAAATGCAAAAAAATTATTAGCAAATAAAGCTCCCATAGAAAAAACATTAGCTGCTGGCATTGAGAGGAGAAGTACTGCGGCCTCTTAATGATCTGACTAGAGATCTTGGCCTTTCGAAAGAGGCAGCTGAATTGTTAGGGTCCAGACTGAAAGAAAAAACTTATTGGCCAAAGGAACTTCTTTTTATTGGAACAGGAATCGTGAAAAGAAATTTATTAAGTAATTTGATCTATTGTTCTGATGTTCCTGGATTGATAAGCAAATTTAATGTCATCTACGAAAAAGATGAATGGAGGCTGTTTATAGATTCATCTAAAAGAAGCCTCAAAGCTGTTCATCATAGGAGCCAGTATGCATCTGTACCAGTTGGACACTCAGTATATTTAAATAATGATATGAAAACCGGGCTCTCGTCCTGGACAAAATAAAATAGATTGACCACAGTTGGACCATTTGCGGAGATATGAAAGTTATCTCCATGCTTCTTGTTCAACAAGGTGGATTTACAAAGTCCCCATGTTTCATTTGTGAGTGGGACAGCAGTGACAAGACTCAACATTGGGTAAAAAAAGAATGCCCGAAAAGACAAAATCTTGACCAAGGCACCAAGAACGTTATTTGAATCAGCTTAGTTGATCCGAAAAAAGTATCATTACCTCTGCTACATATAAAATTAGGTGCAATGAAGCAGTTTGTCATGGCTGTTCCAAAAGATGGCGATTGTTTCAAATACCTGTGCAAAAAGTTTCCAGATTTATCCTAAGCCAAATTGAAAAAAGGAATCTTTGCTGATCCAGATATCAGCAAACTCAGGAAAGATAAAGATTTTGAGCCTAACATGACAGCAACGGATAAAGAAGCTTGGGTTGTTTTCAAAGATGTCAGTAAATTTCTGGGTAATTACAAGGATCCTGATTATAAGGAAATTGTAATTAGAATGTTGGAGAAATTTAAAATTTTGGGTTGCTTCATGAGTGTAAAAATGCATTTCCTTCACTCACATGCGGACTTTCTCCCCGAAAATTTAGGAGCAGTTCGCGAAGAACAAGGGGAAAAGTTCCATCAAGATATCAGAGATATGGAGCGAGGAAGATGAGACAAGAACGAGGAATCAAGGAAGATGGAACGAGGAATCAAGGAATATCAAGGAAGATGAGACAAGAACATGCTCGCCGACTACTGTTGGATGATAGCTCGGATTGACCCGAGATTAAGCATAAAAAATCATTAAAAAAAAGTTTCAGAGGAAAACGAGTATGTACTTAAATAGAAACTTTTCTCTTTTGCTTGTTTTGTTCAAACAGTACACATACACAATATTTGTTATTCTTGATCAATCGTCAATTTTACGTAAGTTATCTTAATAAAAATAAATTAAAATGGTATGTTGGTGATTTTCTTCTAGAAACTGATGTGAAAAGTTTGAACACAAGGAACTTATTGCTTTTCTATCGACTAGAGGTGACCTGTGCAATCTGGTAACAGTATTTTTTATTCATTTCAACCTATAAAAAATTAGCTGATAGCTCAAAAATCAATTTTCTTTCACAAGATTACATTTTAAATAGATCAAAATGAATGGAGAGAACAGTTACAGGATAGTTCATGCAAAATTGTTTGAGAGAATTCCTTTCCAAATAGGATTTTAGTAAAAAGATTAATATCGATTTTACAAAATATCCTGATATGATTGGGAAAAATGAAGATCATTTTCGAAATCAGCACATCAAATTGCATATAAATCAACAATAACCTCTCTTATATTTTTCAAAAATTTCAATTTGGCAGGGTTGTGTAATTGGTTTGGATAAAATAAAAGCATAATTTTTTTTATTAAGTAAGAAGATTTTCAATATCTGGAGAACAATAAAAATGATGTATACATTAAAAATTAAGATAAGAATGTTATATCCTAAGGATTTACTACCATGTCATAAGACAATATGTTAGAGAGATTTTGCATAAGGTTATTGTTCCCCCCTAACACTATTTGAGCTCCAGAGTGAATGCATGAAAATTTCCGGTAATTATTTTAAAAATTTTGCGGGTACTAATTTTTTTGCAATTAACAAATTTTATAATTGCGACAAAGTTTTTATTTATTGGTCTAAAACCTTCACATGAGATATACAACTATTTTGACAATAACAAGCAATTGTTATATAAAAAATTAGTTTCATTACACAAATGTTTATATTTACAGAGAATATACTAAACAAAGTTTACAATAATTTAGTATCGAACATCTGGTAAAATATTTGACCAAAAATTGCATATGACATTATTGAGCAATCTAAAATAGGATAAGATTTGTTATCACTGGTAATAGTTCTATCTGTGTTTAAAGGCCGAGAATTTGGGCAAATGCTCAATAACAGTTCTGAAACTGCCCTAGCAGCTACAGCGTTTTTCAAAACTTCTTCTGGAGGGATTCCTTTTAGAAATTTTACCTGGAATATGAAAAAGAAATGAAAAGTATTATTAAGAAGACAATATATCTTAGAAGTACGGGAAATGGAATATGAATGGAGACATTCTATTGAAATCTGATTTAAGGATATAATTTATTTAAAGGATTCAATGAATATTCAATTTTTCTATAGCCTCTCTGTTAGAATATTTCTTCCTATTTATTTAATGATTTATGCTTAAATATGTTAGAATTTTAACAGCTAGAGAATAGGTATTTGTTCAAAATAATGAAACGCTTAAGCCTCATAGAAACGCTTTTAAATTATGAGGCCATTCTATAGTTCTCTAAAAGTTCTTCACCCAAAGGAACACTTGCATAATAACTATCAATAAATAGTATGCGGGCCTCAGATAATAAACCATTTAGTAATCTCATTACTACATTATCAGGGTGGCCACTCAAAACAGATTTCAAATTTCCCTGATTTTTCTAGGTTTTCCAGGTAAAAATCTTAAAATTTCCAGGATAGTGTTTTTTTCCTTTTTTCTTATAAAGTATAGGATGTGTACAAGAAAAGTGTCTGTATTATAAAATATCTTATTCAAAATGTCATTTTTTAAAACATATCTTGAAAAAAAAATTACTTTTTTACAAGATATTTTTTTTATTATTTTTTAATGTTCTGGTACAATATTAATTTTTAAAAAATTAAGACATGGAGAAAATAATATGTTTAGCTTGCAGAATATATTGCTTTTATTGAATAAGTTTAATTGTTTTTATTGAATTTAATGTGTTACTTTAAGTAGTATTTGCTCAAAGTGTACCAACAAAATGGCAAAATCAGAATGACCAATAAAATCTTGGATAAGTATTGTTTAATATATTTTCATTAAGCAAAAGAAAACCGTTTCAGGTGACTATATATCAATAATTTTTAATAATTACAGAGGCTCCCAAAAGCGCTCATTCACTTATAATTTATATTGAAATAGGAAATAAAAATTCAATAATTAAAATGAATATTTCACAATAGGTACTTGATAATAAGATGTATAATCTATTCTTAGCAAAACTGCACGGAATATTTTAAAAACAAAGCAAAAGTTAATTTTTTAATCAAATAGTAACAAAAATGTTAACCCACGAAAGTCATCGTACAGTTAAATGTTTTGGATCTCAGAATTAAAATTATCGTCAATTGCTTTTTTTATTTAATTATTTTTCATTTAATTTTTTATTTATTTATTAGCAATTTAGTATCAAACTTATAATAGCAAAATTATATTTTAATTTATGCTTGCTAACTCTGTAATATTTTATTTTATCATTAAAAAATGACTCATGGTCGTAATAAAATAGACCAAATTTGATTATTTGTCTTCATAAGAGGTAAATCAGTAACGAATATGTAAAATTAGTTTATTGTGTCCTATTGCACTGTGCAATATGTGATAAAATGCTTAAAAAAGAACTTCATATCAGAGATTAAAACTATAAATTTTGTGGAAAAACTCATACATTCGCAATTGAGTGTTGTAAAAGTTTCTGTAAAATTTTTAAAAAAATATTCTGTAAGAATTTTACCCGACAAAAAAAACCAAACTAGTTACACGTATTTTCAACCTTTAAAAGCTATTGTAGATGTAAAAGGAAACTCCACTAAATGTTAATTTAACAAAAAATTAGATTTACTAATAGACTGAGTTTTTTCTTTTAAAGTATATGATGACTTTTGTGGGATAAAGTTTTTGTCACTTTTTGATGATTGATTCTTTAAAAATAAACCTTTCCTTTGTTTTTAAAATATTTCATATTGTCATTTAAAATATTTCAGTTTTGTTAAGATTAGAACACATTTTTTATCATTAAGTATACATTCTGAAACATTCATTTTAATTAATGGATAGTCTTATTTCATTGAAAGTCATAAGTGTATCAACACTTTTGTGAATCACTGTAATTACATTTCAATATAAAGCTGTACTGTATACTGCATTATACTGTATTTCATCTTACCAGTGCTTTTTATAAAATTCATTGATCATATTTTCCTTAAACCAATATCTCAAGTCAAATTTGTAAATAATGGTATTTTGAAATAGCATTTTTATTTTAAGAGATTCAGCAAAAAAAAATAAATGTCACAAATGTAAAATTGTCTAATTTTTAGTTCTATACTCCAAAGAAGAAAAAAAAAAGATAAAATTCCTTAAAATTTATACTTTTTTGATTTTTTTTCTTATTTGAAATTAAAACATTTAAAGAATTTCAATCTTAACGCACATTTTCTAATTTAGCATAGTTAATTGTTCTTTTTTTTTGAACAACTGGAATCTTGTACAGTGCAGAACTAAAACACTAAATTTCGTTTTCCTTCTTCCGACTAAACACATATGAATAAAATTTTTTTTTTATTTTATGTATACACATCATTTAATATGTTTCCTATATATTCTTTAGTCATTGTCAGCTTTTTTTAGATAAAAAGAGGAATAGTTTTGAAATATCATCTCTGGAATGCAACCAACATTTACAAACTTTCGGTATTGTGATAACTATACAATTCGAATTTTGAATCAAAAAACTAATATTTAGCAACAAAACAGTAAAATTTGATATTAATATATATAGTTAGTTAAAAAAAAAACTTTTTTCAAAATAAAAATTTTATAAAAGGTTAAAATGAAATAGAAAAAATTAGCATTAATGCAAGAATTGTAACAATTTGTCGACAAACATTGCTGTTAGTGATGGGGGGAAATGTGTGATTGGTTGGTTTTGCTGAGAAAAAATAATTTACAGATTTCTTTGAATGGGAATTCAAAAGCTTTCAGAAAAAGAGTGCAATATAAAATCTATTATTATTAAATTATAACCAACTAATTTTTAGAGAATTTAATAAAGTTAAAAATACAAAAACATTTTGACTCATTTTGTCAAAATAGAAAAAAATTACCACCCACAATTGCGAACAAACTTGACTCATTGTGTGAGCAAACCCACGGACAGAACTTAAAAACCGAAGCAAATATCCGAACCCCGTCTTCCACGTCCACCATAATCCTTGCCTTTCCTAAATTGCATAGTCCCATAGTCTGCATAGAGATCAAAGGTTTCTACATTTGCTTAGCAACCATGGGAGAATTTTATGTGGCATTCTAGTTTAACAGGGTTATAATGGAGCAAATTTTGATGAAAGCAAAGTATAGCTAAGGTGATGATATTTTAACTGTTTGGAGATACATTTCCGCCTAAAAAATGTGGGTATAATGGATGAAACAATTTAAATTAAGAAAATTAGCAAATAATTTAAATTAGTGAAATTAAAAAAATATATAAGAAAAAATTTCCAGGTTTTATCTATATTTCCCTGATTTTTTTCCAGTATAAAAAAAATTCCCTGATAATTACAGGTTTTCTAGATGGGTGGCCACCCTGATCATGAGAATGTGATTTTTCAATGATCGTTCCATTTTCCCCGGCATAAATTTCGATATTATAAGTGTAGCCTTCAGGCAAACACAATTTGTATAATTTTACGCCATACTTATGTTGCTTGCCTGGGATGTACTGACGAAAATCTAGACGTCCTCTCCATGGAACTATACCTTTATTGACAACGATATTTTTGCATGGTTTAACAGAACTCTTGAAGGTATCCACAATTGCTTCAATAATGTTTTGAATTTTGTACAGCCGATCTTCAGTTCTGACTGTGGTATTGTCCAAAAAATGTAAAAACTTAAGAATAGATAAAAAACGATCACATCTCATTGCATTTCTTATGCGTGCACTCGCATACATGTCATTGTTAGACCAATACAATCTAATTTCTGGTAATTGCACTACACCCATAATAAGCAATATGCCAATAAAATTACTCACTTCATCTCTTGTAACAGACTGCAATGCCTGTTGGTGCTTTCTACTGCTAGATGAAGAATTCTTTATACATTGTGTAGCATATTTATTTGTTTCTTCAACTATCAAATCTAGTATGTAATCCGTGAGGAATAGTTCCTATAAAGCAAGAGGGTCACTACAGTCAGTGTTTTCATATAAAAATTCCTCTTGTTCCGAATACTCATTTATTACTGAAGTTCTTTTACTTCCTGTCATTCTTCATCTTTATCCTCGTTCTCTGATTTAGACACCAAATCTTCTTCTTCTTCAGTGAAACATTTGTTCACTTCACTGCTTACATTAACAAAATCCTTGTCTGAAGAGGAAGAAAGTATCCGCAATCTTGACGCCTTTCTCCTGCTTCTATTTATAGATTCACCAGAATCACTTAGTTCCACATCCATGTTACCTATTTTTATAAGGGCGAAAACTAAAAACAAATCTAACTGCCTTTTGAGTTATACTTACTGGCACAAATCTGTGTCCAGGATGAAAAAACGACACAAATACACAACTTGCACAATAGGCACTCACCGTACTACTGAGCAAACATAAAGCGCATGTGCAGGTGTGAGCAGGCAAAAATCGTGCACCGTCAGATGAAGCGCGGCATTAATTTGAGCGCCGCCTCACAGAAAAACAAATTAAAATCGGTCCTGGAGCGAGCGTGTTAAAGACAAAAAGTACAAATCAATTAGATCTCTACCATCCACTAAAGTAATACAATGCCTAAAGTCTGCTGATCAGCCCCCTTCTGGGTATTTAATATGCTTGTGAGTTTGGAGGCTTAAAAAAATATGAACATTGGTTCTTTACGATAAAAACAGTGACAATAAGTTAAATACCAATAGGTCGGAAAACCACACCTTCCTTTGAGAAGAAAAAAGATCCCTCCTTTTTTTCTAATTCGCATCTTAAGCTTTGGAGCAACACAAATGTATTCTAATGTTAATTTTGTTTTATTCTTTTACGAAATAATTAAAAAATAGGTAGCGTTTTCTTATTGCTATTAAAGTGTAACTCTGTAGCTTAGCAATTTTGAGCCTAGCTTCTGGAAGCTCTGGATCAATAACAAGGAAGCTTCTGGATCAATCAAGCTTTCTTAGCAAACTTTTTGGTGAAACTAAACTGCATTTGAGTTACATGGAGAGGAAAACCAGACAAACCTTCGATGGATAGCCTGACAGCAAGAGGATTTTAATCCTTAGATTTTGACAGCTTTTTAGGGCAAATGAGAAACTCTTTTGGAAATGTCATCTGCAGAATACAAGTACATATACATATTAAAAACTTTCGGACATTGTATTAACTGTACATTTCGTATTGTGATTAACTGTACATGGAAAATCAAATATTTACCAACAAAATAGTCAAATTAAAAGTCATCAACATGCGGTTGATTCTTAAGCAAATCTTTTATTAAATAAAATATGTTTCAAAATGTATGAATAAAATATAAACTTACAGCATTTTCACCCCAAATATTAACTTCTAGAACAGACAGTCCTGTGCCATCATGCATCTTCAAAGAAAACATATAGGTGTAATCTAGAATTTTTTCAAGACCTATGAATCAATGTAAATGTTATTATACATTAAAAACAGAATAGTTGAGTAAATGTATTTATATAGGGTTTTCAATCAATTTTAGATATCTTTTTTTTATTAAGAGATTAAAGAGTCAAATTATGTTAAGTAATGACTTTCAACCACAAATGCAGCTACAAAAGTTAGAAATTGCCAACAGCCAGAACAAATTTTCCAAAAGGTAGCATATGGAATGGAAAGAAGCACAATTACTTTTTATTTTATGAATTTACATAAAGGCAATTATTATTTGTGATATAATAATATCAAATAATTAGATTATAGAGTTTTTAAAGTTGACATACGGATTGTTTGCCTTGAGCTTTAATAATTTATTTTACACCTATTTTTACAGACACAGTGGAAACCTGTTTAGAAGTTTCAGTTTAAGTAATTTTCTACCATTTTGTCTATAATATAAAATTAACAACTTTAAAAAATTTTATTCTTAAACTTTTCCATCGTAAAAGTTTACTTAAACTCCAATTTTTTTTAAACAAGGAAATTTTTTTAAAAAAAGGACAATAGCTTTTTGGAATGAAACTTGTGACAAAACCTCTGGATTTTCAGAAAAATTAAAATTCTATGTAGTCTTAAAGTATGCTTGGCTTTTTTAAAAGAGGTATTTAATATGAAAAAATAAAGATAGACATCTGCCTTTAATATGAAAAAAAAATAAATAAAAAGAATTTAGATAAATTAGTTTCTTTAACAATGGTCAAGTCAGTTAATACAGGATATCTGCTACATTTTAGATTTTCAAATTCATGACTCTTCATGACTTTCCATGATTAATTCCAAGAGTTTTTCATGACCCAACGAAGTTACTATTTTCTCTGACAAAAACAAAACAATAAATAAAAAAAAGCATTATAATAACATTCATTGAAATGATAGGTACAACCAAAACTGTTATACTCTGCATCTTCATATTTATAGATTTTAAATTTAAAAAACAGAGTAAAGAAAGAGTTAAAGCAATAAAATAGCTGAAAAAAATACAAAAGCAAAGAATTTTTTTTCTGCAGAATTACATTCAAAGATATTTTTCTTGTTCATCGGAATGGAAAGAAATACTCCCGATTTTTCTGTTCTCATACTGGGATAAAAATTTGGCCAATAACTGGCTTGCTTCAGCTAGAATTTTAAATTTATAATATTAAAAAAAAAAAATAAGAAGAAAAATTCTGAAATCACAGAAGTTTAAAAGATAATTCGCTCTAGAAATGTTTTCTCTTTCATTTTTTGAAAGAACACCATAATTTTTAAAGAACACGATAAAAACATTTTATATTTTAATCCAATATGAGGGTGAGTGGGGATTTTATTACAAATTCAGATATTCGGAACACCATGAAATTGGGGAGAAGGAGTTCAATTCCATTTTAAAAATTAGATTTTTCAGTGACCTAAATCCATGACTTTCCAGGTGTGCGGATACCCTGTCAATATTTAAGTTTAACTTCGAAACTATAACTCAATATTTGTATGATGTTATAACCTAAACAGATCTTCAGCACATCAAACTTATAATAAAAAAAATTATGATTTCTTCCCCAAATTTTAGCTTATATGCAAAAAAAAAAAAAAAAAAAAAAAAAAAAATTAAAAAAAAAAAAAAAAAATTATAGTTTAAGAAGCTTTTTCCTTTATTCCCCATGAAAAATTCCTAAAGTGGTTTTTACTATACATATATACATGTATTATAAATGTTTGTATACCTATTCTTTTTGCAAAACAATAACATAAAATGACTTACCATTTCTCAAGCAATCTGGGCAATGGAAATAAAATAACCCATCTTGTTCTTTCAGTGGCACAAGTTCAGGTTGCAAGTCATCAGTTCTTTAATAGTGAAAAAATAACTAATTTTAAAAATATGTTTTCGTCAAGAAATAATTTTAATAATTACAGATAAAAACTTTCTTTTACACTTCCTTTTTAAATTACCAGGTATGTTAAACTCAATTTCAAAAAAGGAAAATACAGATTATCCCGAAAGTTTCAGTTCACAAAAGTATTCCTGATACAGGAAAAGAAAAAAAATTAAGGTTTAATCTTTTGCACTCGTCTGACACCTATATGGTGACATCAAAAGTCTCCACTGTAAAACTCAAAAATTTTTAATCTTAATTAGTAATATCATATCATTTTATGAGTTTTAGAAATTATATAGAATTACTAAGTAGTTCAAACACCATAATAAAGTACTTAGAGTCAGGGCTAAAGAGAATAGAAGGGCTGGTTCACTCCTTTGAAGTAGCTCTCGCCGCGCCAATCCTCCGATTTTCTCTAGTGACGTCACTTTGGCGCAATGCTCGCACTTTTACTTCAAGAACGGAGCGTTCGGCCTTACTAGCTCTAACTACTATTGGAGCATTTCTTTTTGCGAGATATTCTAAGACATTTGTTATTTTCTAGAATGACTTTCCTCAGTTTTTGCAGTGAATTTACAAGAATTTAAAACTATTATCGAAATGCCAGTTTGCGCGATTGCAACTTGAAAAAATTTTGATAGAAAAACAAAAGGAAAAAATATAATTTTCCGCGTGTTCCCTAAAGTAAAGGAACAACTATGCAAAGAATGGATTTCGAAATGACACAGTTAATATAAAACAGCAATACGTTTTTTCTGTCGCTAAATTCATTATCTGAATAGAAACCGCCTCGTTACTTCAAAAAGAAAGGCAGGTGAAAAAAATTAAAAAAAATGGATAAAGTCAAAGAAAATAAAAATGTAAATAAAAAGTATAAATAAAATATATAGTATATAGTTGGAATTCTCCTAATTTCATAACATATTTTTTAATGTAGTTATTCTTAATATTCATGATTTTTTTAAAAAAAATTATACTCTCCTAAATTTAAATATCTATAAATTATACCATCGTAAATTTAAATATCTATAAACAATTGTAAAATTTCTAATGTCATTATGAACCTAAATTATTATTTTGCTTCAGTAATTAGCGTTTAAGGTTGATGTTTCCTAATGATAAGGTATGAACAAATTGCTATAAAACGGCATATTTTAAAATCGGGGATTCTAAATTTAACTCAACTTATTGTTATAAAAGAATATGTAGATAAAAAAGTGAGGGAAATCGTACCTTCAGTTCTAAGAGCGGAGTGAACTAGCCCTTCTATTCTCTTTAGCCCTGACTCAGAGTACATAATGCTAAAATTGTGTTTTCCATCTTTTCCTCAGAATTATAAAAAAACTTCTCCTTGTTGCAGTGATTAAAATTTTCCTTCCTTGTTTTCCAGGCTAGTATAAACTCTGTGCTAATTTTTTTGATCCAATAATATATGAATCTTTATTCTGTTTTTGTATTAGCCATTTCCCATCTTTCATTTGGGTCTACCTTTTTAGATGAGTTAGTAGAGTTGAAAGACCAAACTTTCTAGAGGCCACTGGCAACTAGAGTTAAAAATAAATAGTGGTCAATTTTTCTTCTAGGATTCAATTATTAAAAACTTGAAATCTAAAACTAATTTATAAAAATGAGTACAATTTGATTATTTTTATAAATGATATTTTGATTATTTTTATAATTTTTTGATGATTTTTACATGATTATAAAAAGTTAATAACAATATATCTAAGAAATGAAATTGAGTAATAGAAATGATATTGAAGTTTGTGAAAAAATAATCGTTTTATCTCAAACTTTGATTAATACTAGTTATTTTTAAAAAAAACTTTTACACTCCATTGTTTTTCTAAACCTGAAATATTTTTAGAATCAATCAAAATTGGTAAAAATGCAGATTAATCTGTTCTAAATCCCTTTCAAGTTTTTACAAGAAAATCTTTTTATCTTCTTGCTTAATTGAAAAATTTTTTCCCCACATAAACTCACTTAACTATCCAAAGAAAAGCGAATTAATAGCAATTTTAAATTCAGAAGTTGAATAAAATAAAAATCAGTTGTAAAATTATAATAATAAGAAAAAACTTACAGAGAGAAAAGCTTACTGATGTTGAGAGATTATTGAATTTTATCAGTGTTTTAAATGAGTTTGTTTAAAGCTTCTTTAAATGAAACTCATTATGATACAATCATTGATAGTTAAAAAAGAAATATAAAGGATAAAATAAACTATAAGTATTTATAAATCAATAATTACATTATGAGAATCAAAGGCAGGGTTCCCACTCTATGATGAGATTGAAATTCAAGGACTTTCCAAGGACCTCAACAAAATTTTCAAGGACCTTAATCTAAGACCAATTTTAAAAATTATTCTCTTCTATTTTACTAGAAGCAACAATGCTTGTTGTGGCAATAATTAATTTCAAATATAATACCTAAATGCTTTGCCTATATAGAGAGAAGAGAGTATATGTATTATGGACTAAAATTTATATTTTTTTAAAAACAACCCTACTGGTTTTACATATTAATTCACAAAATCATTTTCAGCACAATCTATAACTAATGGTAATGAGGTGTTAATGGTGAAATCCTTTAATCCTG